CATATGCAAAATTGAAGGCGCGACGCGCGAGATGAGAACTCGGCATGCTCTGCCTTATGTTGCTACAATGAGGCGTCGCTCCGGTTCGGAAAATAAGTTAATTGGCATTATTTGATCGACATTTAAAAAATCAACACGTCGATTGTTCTAAATCAATATTTATTTGACCTCCTGCTTATTGCAGGGATTAAACTAACAAAATCATTTAAAAAAATCAGTCTATGGCAAAAAAAATTAAAACGGTGCAAAAACTACGGATGAAAAGTGAATAATTCGCAATTTACAAATGAGGGTATTTGGCAAATTCCGAATCTGTACAAACGTTCTTTTATAGGAAATGAAACTGCCCAGTTTTTGGAAATGACTGATTTTTTGTGTGTTGCACCCTTTGCCAGATTAAGTTGTTATTTTATCGATTTTGGAAATTGTCGATATGCTCAAAGTGTTTCGCGAAAAATTTTGAAAAGGAAACTTGCGCTTCAGTGCTGGATACTCCACCCCATCTAATAATGCACCGAGTCTCTTTTCCTTAAGGCTAAAATTAGGTCAGTGGGATTTGGATGGGTTAATCCTAGTCTCTCGGACACGCACGGATATGATACGTGAGCGCGGCGCGAGGCCGCTCGTTCACGCTCGACTCGCGCGGTGCGGTGCGGTGTGCAGCTCGTTGCCCGGTGCGTAAAACATCCCGTAAACGAATTAGTGACGCATCGGAGCTTGAAAGCGGCCGCGGCTCCTTGCGCCTTGTTACCAGCAGAACATCTGACGAACGGCTCTATCAGTGTGTCGCGATTAATTCACCTCGTCTACCGGATCCGTCCTCGAAGCCCCGAGCTTCTCGGAAGTTTTTAATTAGCATCGACTCGGCCACACTCGCCGGAGCTTTCCTGGAAAGCCTATTGATCCACCGTGAGTCCTCTCCAAGCCGGAAGCTCGCGGCGGAAGGACACTGCGTTACGATTATTTTAGCGTTGCGGGCACGGTCAACCAAAGGAGTGGCAGGGGACAAGCTGTAATGCGCTCTATCTCCTGAAATTTCTCTGAAGAAAAAAATGAAAATATCACCAATCCATCCTGGAAATGTGTCATTCAATACTTTTTCTAGTTTCACTAAGCTCCTCACTGGAAAAAAAACACATTGGATCTAGAGTCCAGACTCTTGAAAACATTAACAAGAAAAAGGACTCTTGATTCAATCAGATTTAAGCTTAAATCAAAAGGAAATCCGTTCAAATTAAGAGGCTTGGTTCTTGATTTAAGCTTAAATCTGATTGAATCAAGAGTATTTTTTCTTGTCGATGTTTTTAAGAGTCTGGACTCTAGATCCAATGTGTTTTTTTTTTCCAGTGCTCCGAATTTTTCTTGTGCAGTTTTGTTGTTACGCAAATTGTTTCTACAGATCTGGGTATTTCCTTGGAACTTTTAAAACCTCCTAGTGCGACCGGAAAAAAAAAAATCCCCCAAATAAAAGGAGAATGCACCAAAAATTCCCAGAAAGCATTAAATCTTACGTAGACCAGGGCTCACGTGGTAATAATTGAGATAGCCCTATGTCGGGGTCGAGTGACGATTTGAACATATTCATTTTAGCAGATTAGGTTATTTCGTCATTTTTCCTCTAATAATTGATTCCCTGCAAATAAAGAAGATGTTTTGATGACCTTTTTTATTTTAAAAAATGTACAAAATAAAAGTACTCGTAAGTTGCGCACGCTCAAAATTAGAGACTTTAACGCGCTGCAAGAAAAAACAACGAAGTCAAATTTTTCTTAATGAGTACTTAGTTGGGCAATATTGTAGTAAGTTTAGGCTCATAAAAACACCTACAATGCCAATGTATTACTTGAGCATCTCTGATGTTTTATACGAGAAACACTAAAAAATCCTGCTATTTCCTTGAGGGGGACAGGGCAAAATGAAAGTTTATTTGTGGAAATGCGATTTTTCTGAGCATCCATTGTTGATCATCATTTATTCAAATTTAAACTTATCTATTTTAAAAACAAACCAACTGTCGTTCTCAATCTTTAATTTTGTTTCCGGTATATCAATCAAAGACAACATTGGAGCCTATCATGAACAGTTGCTTGCTAATTAAACAGTGGAAAGGTCCTCTACATGCATTTATTTCCTCGTCTTATTCATTCATTGACAATGTAGACATTTTGACAATGATATTGATTTGCAAATTATAAAAATAATTCAAAGATATTGAACAAATTTGCAATAATTAATTCAAATCGTATCGAAATTGCTACCATTCACGTGTATGTATTGGTCAACACGTTGTGAAAAAACAATGAAAGTATATCAAAATTCTGCAACCACCCAATTATATAACATCAAAAATAAGACGTACGCAAATTAATACTGCCATAAACACTTTCTCCCGAATGGCGAGTGGAACTGTTTCGAAAGGGTTGTGAAATGTTTGGCATATCATTTTTCCGAGGCAAACATGTGAATCGGCATGCATGGCTTGGATATCTAGATCATAGCTGACCAGTGGCGAGGCGTGAAGGATCGATTATCGATATTTCCCCACTTGAAGCTATAGTAAAGAATCGATTATTAAGGTGTTCATTGCGAACACCCTGTTTACCGATCCTTTTTCATAGGTTTAAATGGCAGATCAATCGATATGTCGAGCAGCACACCACGCCACTGTAGCGGACGGACGTGGCATGATATTGAGAGGGAAAAACTCAGTTATTTTAGCAGCTGCCTCGTAGATTCTCCGTGTACGACAAACGTATATCTATTTCTCTGGGGGGGGGGGGGG